ATTTTTAAGCACATTTTAAAGTATCGCATTAGAAAATGGCACAAATTTGATAAAATTTCCCCAATTGCTGCTTACGCTCGCTTGAGTTGGTTTTTGCCTTTGTCGAAAAAGAGTTGATGTGTTAAATGGGATATGGAACTACCTTTGCCGAATCAATTCTAATAAATTCTGACATAGCAAACATTAACTCACATAACGGATCAGCTCTTTCTGCTGCTGGACAGCTAATACCAGCTTAAAGCGGGCCCCATTAAAACAAATTAGCTTGACAATTGAATGGAAACATGGCTTAAGATGAACCAAGACATTTTCAAATATTTAAGAAACGATGCATCAGTTATTTTTTTTCATTATTATTATTTAACAAATGATTGGCTCATCACACAATTTACTCATGTTATTATTTATGTGTAATGTCTTCTTATTCATTGGATATTGGGCACTTTGGGGCTCTGTAGACTTTAAACATGTCAACGTGTATGAACCGTGCGCCGCTTTGTCTCCCCAGACGCGCTGTACGTGCTGGACACTCGGACGGTGGTGGGGATCGCCTTTGCAGCCTTCGTGATCGGGGCTCTGTTGACCGGAGCCCTGTGGTTTATCTACTCGCACACAGGTAGGTGCCTCACCTGCTGCTCCACGGCCCCGGCTCACCTCTCTGCCTTAATGAAAAGATAAGACGCAGAGGAATGTCCGAGTGTCCCGCTGCCCGAAATGTGCCGCGGGGAATGCCAAACATCCTGCTGCTCACAGAGGCCAGTCCACAATAACAGATTGACTCCTTTACTGTAAATATATCCTGTTGGTCAGCAGCGAGGGCTCCTCTCTTTCCTGCCTTTGAATGTTTTTGGGAGCTGCGGGGTGGTCGGCAAATGTTGTCAGTACAATGGCAGGAGATGAGTTGGAAATTCCCCCTGTTGGGTTTAGCGGCACTCACAGGAAAAGACACACAATCTGTCCATTAGATGCCAAGATCTTCCCCATCGTCCCCAGCCCGCCGACCCCAGCTGACCCTTGGGAGGAAGTGTGCTCCCAGCAGCCCTCTGGAGTTCACCGTTGCATAAAGCTGCTCTGTTCTCATTCGGCCTGACCGCTGACCTGTTGATCGCCATGAACGTCTTTTATAAATGGGGTCAGGATGTTTGAGTGAGGTCATTCAGCAAATACACCAACGTGAGTGTTTTAAGTTTTGAAGTTTGAAGCTCACATTCAGCCAGCGTTAAATGGCCTGATCAGTAAATGATAGTTGTGAGCGTGGCAAAGATCCGGACACTCGTCAGAGTTAAACTGTTCCAGTCATGCTGAGTCACATCTATAAGTGTTTCGTTAAACATGATTTCATGTAGCAGAAAAGATCAGCTTTTAGTGCCTTTTATCTTTATCACAATATTGGTATTGGCTCCGCTTTAGAAAGCCACTTTATTGAAGCTTTATGGGTTTCCTAGAGTGCCTCATTGGCTGCTCTTCCAAAGATATCAGAAGTGAATATGTACAGAGTAACAGGTGTGAGGATGGTAGTACTAGAAAGACTTTTTACAACATGTTCCTGTTGATGTTATCAAAATAGGCCTTAGCTGGGCGTGTTACGCTTCCTTGGCTGAAATGACCTTACATGGCAGTAGTGGCAGTTCCATGTAAACCCTAAGAATGTAGATCCCCCCCCAAAACAACCACCACAAATATATCAGTCCAGCGTGTATTTTAAACTACAGAGTGATGAAGCATGAAAACAAAATTGGGTCTTTCCCCCCCAGGCTCTGAGGACAATGGCCTCTTGAGAAAGAAATTCCATAAAAGGCAATTAGAAGAATCAGCGTTTTAGAAAAGCACCCCACGATATATTATTTCGACATGTTGCTCGTTATCTTGGCGCGTACAGAAAGGTCTGCTTTCTGCCAGGGCTGCAGTCATGTCTGGCAAGAGATCTGCTCAAATGGTGAAATAACATACGGACGAATAATTCTAACCGATTGTGAAAACAGGCTGAATAATTCACAGGGGGAGAAATTTCACACATTATCTGCTCTGAAATCCAAACACATGCTACAAGATTACAAAACAATGGTGACGGATACACAGCAGCTTCATGTTTTAGCCCCACTAGCGCCTTACGTCAGTCAGTCCTTCCTCCACTTTGGTTCAATCGGAAATATCTCAATGACGACTATTGGATGGATTGACATAAAATTTATTGAGGACATTCATTGCACCCAAAATATGGATTCTAGTGACTTTGGTGATCCGCTGACCTTTCCTCTAGCGCCACCATGAGGGGGGGTTTGTAGTTTTGTTCCACTTAGAATAAATTATCACTTTTAATTCAGATTCAAAACTGCAATTTTGTGCCAAATCAAAAATGTTGTGCTAATCAGCATATGTTCGCATCCTAAGAGGCTAAACTAGGATGGTGAACGAGGTAAACATCATACAGTGCAAACTTCTTATAATGTTCATGTCTGTCTCGATCAAATTGATCACTGTAAGCGTATTATTTACTATAACCAACGATTAACCAACAATTGGGGGCAACCGCGGCTCACTGGGTTAAGAGGGTTGTCTGGTAACCATAAGGTCAACAGTTCGATCCTCGACTGGGACGTGTCGAAGTGTACCTGAGCAATACACTGAACCCCAGACGCCTTAAAGGGATCAATATAGTATAATGAAAAATTAACAGTTGTGCTGAATTTGATCAACTATTTCAAAATTCAGTACAGCTGCTTTAAATGACTGTCCTGTGTATAATTGAAATACATTATAATACAATACATTATAATACTGTATATCAAACATAGCTTACTGTAGTTGAAATTATTATTATATTGTGCTGTACAGTGGTCTCAGTGCATTTCAACATTTTTAACAGACAGGAAAATAAACCGTCGGCTATCAAAGCCCAACTAGTAGTGGAGTTTGAAAACAAACATATTCATAAAATACAGTATCAGGGGTGTAAAATACAAAAAAGAAATAGAATCACCGTAGTCTTGATTTTGTTCCATATGTATGAAAAGACCGAAAATAAGTGATTCTTCCCAAGCTTTTTGATCCATATAAGCGGTTTTCATCGTGTCTGCTAAATATTAGCATGTTAGCATCACTGCGAGCGTGTTAGCATGCTGACATTAGCATCTAGCCTCACAAATCCGCTAGTATGGCTGTAGACTTGTTTTCTCAAATGTGTCTCTCTCTCTCTCTATCACTCTCTCTCTCTCTTTCTGTCTCACCTTGTCCATTCAGATACGACGTTTCATGTGAGACAGAGGCAGGTCAGAGATAATAGAAGATGTCTCTATATTTGATTCTAGAGTCCAAACTTCAACCGTAGTATCCCTCAAGCCGCGTGGTGACAATGTGACGCTGCTGGTCCACGCTGCACACAGTGGATACTACGGGTCTTCATACACAGTATGTTTCTGTGACATAAAAGCAGCCTTATCTCCAGTCCAGAGAGATAATATTGGACTCTGGGATTGATATTTCTCCAGACAGATGAGGTGAATCCGAGGCCCCTTTTTGTTTGCTAGAGCGCTCGGTCCTGCGAGAGAAAAGAATGCTGGCAGCTCCACTCTGGTAAACATTAGCAGGACTGAGGGGCCCCGAAAGAGGGAGCGCCATGTAAGATCGCCTGCGGACACATGTGCCTGTCATATACACACACACACACACACACACACACACACACACACACACACACACAACTTTTAGTATAAACCAAACTAGCGATTGGAAAATCTTTGTCAAAGAGAACACGCCAGGACGCAAACAAGGAAAATACTGCAGTAATAACTGAGTCCAAATGCTCAAATTAAACACAGACTTGGCTCTTTTTCAAAAGTGAATCATTGTCTGTCAGAGACGTTTTCGTAAACATTTGCAAGCACTTTCATTAAGCCTCTTCAATTGAAGTGTTGGATCCCGAGAGTCTACCAAATGAAATGCTTATTTAGACATAGAACAATAAACCAGTCAGTTGTTTGAGCTCCAGTCAGAAGGTCCTGTCTTGTGTTTGCTCTGCGTTATCTACTAAAGCCAGGCTAATTGAATCCAGATTACTCAAGAAAATGAACTCCATGAACGCCTCTTTCTCTCTCTCTGGATCAAAATGTCATCTGTCAGAGAGGATTCTGGGCTCTGTGAGGTGAGGCTTCTGTGGTCATGAGCGTTGGAACACACTTTGTGAATGTGTGGCGGATTATGCTCGAAGATGGTAAAAGTTAGCACAAACGAAGTCCAGAGTTGCGTGGCTTTGCGTATTCGCTGTGCTGAAAACTGGATGTTTTTATAAAACTGTGTGAATCGACACAAGGCTTTGCCCAAAACATCGGGATAAAGAATTTTATTTTTAGCTAGAGTGTGAGGTTTATGTCAAGTAGCGACAGTAGGAGATTAAACAGTGAGAACAATGGAGGTTCCTGCCTCTCAGAGGAGTGCAATTTGTAGCTTTACCAAACCGAGTCGTCATGTTCCTGCCTTTCTCTGCTGTTCTGTAATACACATACTTTTTTCTATCTTCCTTCGGTCCAATCCCCTCCCTCTCCCTCTCCCTCTCTCTCTCTCTCTGTCCAGGTGAGACAGCTGGCACACAGCAGGTCCAGAAGCCCCAGCCGGCCTCAGAGAACAGCAGCGCGGCCCACAGTATCGACAGCACACAAAGCACACCCTGCTCCAGCAGCAGCACGGCGTAGCCCAGGACGCAACCCGGCGGGTCACCGGTTTGTTGATCTCCTTCTGTGAAAGGAACTATTTTTTTGGAGGAGATGTGATAGAAAGGAAAGAAGAAAAAAAAAAAAAAGTATGATTTGAAAAAAACCGCACAATAACACCGTTGATCCTTGTGTAAATTCATCGCTGTCCTGGTGTTACTGGTCTGTAACAGTAGCAATCCCAGCTTGGCAGCCTCACCGCCATATTTAGTTTGAAAAACTACAAG